CGGGAGGGCTCTGAGCAGTTGTACATGGCGTTTGCTTTTATTATTCTAAATTTTTGTTATTCCTAAGTACAGAGTGTTCACAGCATTCCGAGTGTCTATTTTTTTTTTCTTATCGCCTTTTATATTAATTGCATTTCTTTCTGGGAGGCTGGTAAATCCCCTGCTTACTTCAGTACAGGCCTTCCCTGCCCCCCCGCCGGTCTCCTTCCAAAGACACTTTCTTCAGCTTTTCATATCCAACTCAGTTCTGCTTAGAGAGTCTTTAAATCACAGCAGGGTGGATAATGCTCTTAGTACCAGGGCTCTTTAGAAATAAATTACTGGTTCTTGCTCATAGGGTCTGTAGGGTTTTTGGACAAAAACAACAAGAAGCTTCTTGATGATGGATGAAGTATATCCACACCGGCACATATACATACATACAGATATGCATATGTCTTAAGCCCGCTCCTCACCCCAGCGTTAAGGTTACTTCCCACTAGCAGCTTTGTCTCTATTGGAAACCTAACCCTTATATCACAACTTAAGCTTCAGCCCGAGGATGCCGATGAAAGCTAAGAGGAAGACATCATCACAACCCTAACTCAAACCCAACGCTAACCCCAGGGAGATGGCAGCCAAGACGAGAGCATGAATAGGGGGTTGATTAGAAAATGTAGGCCCAGGACAATTGTTTTCTCAGCATTTTCCTTCCCCTTTTCGAGGGCAATGCCACTGCTGCTCTACACTGTCTTTCTGTAAACCCCAACCCTAACCCTAGCTGATGCTCAGCTAAGGCAAGGACACCCATAGGTGTTCAGCTGGAAACACTTGTCCTAGGAAAATTGTTCTGGCAGCGATTCCCTTCCCATGGAAGTCCATTTATAGCAGCAGTGCAGCTGCAACCCTGTGCTCCATCTGTCTCCAAATCCTAAATCTAACCTCAGCCCTAGGCCTAGCAGTGTCAGAGCCAAGGCAAGAGCAGAGTGTAGAGTTCCGACTGCACTACCATTGCAAAGGGGCCTCCAAGGGAAGGAAAATGCCACCAAAGCAATTGTCTTGGGACAGTGTTTTCCAGTTGTGCATGTATGGGTGAACTTGTGTAGCTTATTGCTAACTCTGCCTAGAGTGCGGGTTACAGTTAGGGTTAGGGTTTAGACAAAGACAGAGTGTAGAGCTGCAGTTGCACTGCCACTGAAAAGGGCCTTCCAAGGGAAGGAAAATGCTTGCCGAAACAATTCTCCTGGGAAAAATGTTTTATGCTTAAACACTTGTAAGTGACCTTACCTGACTCATTGCTACCTAGGGTAGGGTTAGGCACTGAGCCAAGGCAAGGTCACTTGTATGCTTTCAACCAGAAAAGTTTTTCCCAGGACAATAATCTTGACAGCATTTTCCCTCTCTTGCAGGCCCTTTTACAGTGGTGGTACAGTCACTTCTCTACGTTCTTTCTTCACACCATAACCCAAAAGAGAACCCTAGCTGGTGCTGAGCCAAGGCAAGAACACCCATCAGTATTTGACTGGAAAAGGTTGTCCCGGGACAATAGCATTGTTTTGCATTGTTTGGCATTGTTTTCCTTCTTTTGGAGGCCCCTTTTTAGTGTTAGTGCCACCACAGCCCTGAACTCTGTCTTGCTCATAAGCCTAACTTGAACCCTACCTAGCAGTGAGCCTGCCAAGGACAGCCATAGGTGTTTGATTAGAAAATGTTTGTGCTGGGACAATTGTTTTGGCTTTTTTTTTTCATTCCCTTGAAGGCCCTTTTCGTTGGTAATGCAGTTGCAGCTCTACACTCCCTCCATCTCTACACTGTAACCCTAATCGCAGTCCTGACCCTAGCTGGCATAGAGCCAAGGCAAGGACACCCATAGGTGTTTGATTGCAAAAGGTTGTCCCAGGACAGTAGTTTTGGCAGTGCTTCCCTTCCCTTGGAAGACCCTTTTCAGTGGCAGTGGATTCACACCCATATGCTCTATCTTATTCTATACCTCAAACCAACCCCAACAGGAAAATGTCATTTTTGGACCACTTTAGTTCCCTTAGTCGCCTATTTTCAGGACAATCCAACTACAGTTCTTTTTCTTTGCTTGTCTCTGAACCCCAACTTTAACCATAATCCTAGTTGAGGCTGTGCATAGGCAAGGACACCAATATGTTGTGCACCTTTTCAGGACAATCCAGCTACAGTTTTTTTTTCTGCTCGTCTCTGAACCCCAACTTTAACTGTAATCCTAGTTGAGGCTGCGCGTAGGCAAGGACACCAATATGTTGTGCACTTTAAATGGTTGTCACAGGACTAATGTTTTGACAGAGCTTCGCTTAGCTTGTAATGGCCTTTTCAGCTGCAGTCCACTTGCATTTCCACACTTTGTCTCTCTCTGAACGCTATCTCTAATCATGATCAAAATCCTAAGCCTAGTGTGAGTTGATTCTAGGCAAGGCTGCCCATGCAAACATTCAGCATAACATTGTCACAAGATATGTCTTTTTCAGCCCATACTTCCTTGTGGAGCCCCTTCTCAGTCCCACTTGCACTGGATCTCTAGGTTTTGTTTCTTTTCTAGCCCTGCTCCTAACTCATTCCATAACCACAACCATCCAATTTAGCTTTAGCACAGTTGTGCTAGCTGAGAGATCACAAGGGGGCTGTCTTCTGAAGGTTGCACAACATACAGATAATTGGATAGTGTTAGATGGTACTCTACTGAGTTTGAAGTACTTATGCAGCAAGTTTGGGTACCCTTCCGTAAGCGGCAGTCATGGATAACTGCACAGGGAACACAAGAGCAGAGCCAGTGTTTCAGGCTGGCTGCCAGTTCAGGAAGACATCACACATCTCCGCAGCACTGAGCTTCTTGTGCTGGTGAAGGCCAGAAGCTCACTTTGTCAGTGAAGTATTTGATGCTGCAAAATCGGAGCATAAGGTGGCCTAAAGATATTTCGGGTGAGCTGGGTGTTTAATATCAGCCTACTCTAATCAGTTACAGAAAGGGTGTGGGGTTGAATTAACAACTAAAGATGGAGAGAGAGCAGGCTAGACCTCACCTTTTAATGGAACAGCCTACTTTTCCACTACACAGGCCTTAGCATCAGGGAACTAACTGATAGTAGCATCTCTATTGGCAGTAATATCTGCTCTGGTAACTTGCATCAATGTCCTTTATGTGCTGGTTGAACCATATGTGATCTGGGTCCTGCACACTCAGTGATTTCTAATGTGTGTTTTGTCCAGAGCCTGCCACAAGATACAAATCTGTGCTTTGCTGTCTAAGCGTTATTTACAGAAATAAAGTTCTTATTTTTGTGGAGGTAAGCATGACTTAAATGGAGTAAGCATGGTGACATCTGCAAATGTACCATAAAGAAAACACTGAAAAGTATCGGCTCCCTTGTTTCTATTCCTGGAGCATTTACTTTAAAATCCAGCTGTAAAAAATGTCACTGTCAACACCATTAACTTCTGTGTTACTGATTTGCACTGAAATCTGTACCATTCTGCTACGGTACAAGCAATACAGGAACCAGCAAAGTTAGGTACCCTGTATGTCTGTGTAAACTGCACAAACAGTCTCTCCTGCTAAGGTGATTATCCCACACCCCAAATCACTGTTCCAGGTATTAAAAACATCTGCCCCTACCCATGTGTCAAAATCTCCTGCCTTTTCTTAGCAGTGTTTTATACCAGTGAAGCTTTTTCAGTGCTAGATTTCATACCGAGTCCCACATGCAGGGGAGGCAGCAATGAGATCACCACAGTCCCCACTCCCCACCTCAGCTGAGGCTGCTGCAGAGCCTATCTGCTGGCCCGGGCCTAGCAAGGCGCAGAAAGCACAACTAGAGGCATTTCACAGGTAGCCGCACAGGTAGGTGTTAATAGTCCTCGTAGCAGCCATGCTCTTGCAGTTGTAAAGGGCAGAAGCCTGGCGAAGTTTCATGAGAGAGAAATAATGTGGTTCATTAGACCAGGGGATAAGGCTGGAAAACGTTTCAGGAACAAGATACTTTTCTCAAGTCTCTAAAATAGCATTTTTTTTCCTAGTTGTATCAGTCTAAAATAAGATGTCATCTCTCACATATACCTTCCATTGCCAAAAACCCTTGAGCACTGATGGGAATAAAACTCCCACTAGAGAATCAAAGTTGGTGTCTGGGTACATACCGAACTGTACGTGAGTGCCTTGCACAGTGACACAGAGCAGCCCTTCATGCATTTGCATGGCTGTGCTGAACGCCAGGTCTCACTGCTGTGGCTTGTGGTGGGTTATCAGCCCCCGTGATGTTAACAGTCAGGTACAGATCATATTTTTTTCCCTGCCGTTTGCTAGTGTTGTTCTAAAATATTCTCTAAACTAAGCACAGAAATCAGAAATGGAGGGAAAAAAAAAAGAAGAAAAAAATAGCTGACTTTCTGAGTTCCACCTTGTCTGTTCATTCATCAAATAAAAGATTGCTGTGTCCTCACAAGTTTGAAATATCCCAATCAATAAAGTATTCATTGCTTCTCTTGGGAGATTGTTCTCCAGACTTATAATATATGTATGACATGTCTACATAGGAAAATTGACCAGAACAGCTATCTCAGCTCTGCCAATATAACTCCCTGGTGTTGACACTGTATTCCAAAATAAAAGTGATTTATTCTCAGATAATCA